TTTATTATTATTTGAAGATATGTATACTTTAACCTATAGTTTATCCTTTTAAAATATTTATAATTATTAAGTGCATGCATATTCATTCTCAAATTCATTTATATAATACTACTATATAAAAAGGACAATGTTTTACTACTGTAAAAAGAACAGTAGATTCTTCCATTTTGTCTCACTGTAACCTTTTTTTTTTAATTGAGAGAAAGCAACGACGTTGTTTATCTTATGTGTTTGATACAGTGACTTTGTTGTTTTTTCTCAATTTACGCGGCGTGAAGAATTATGTCATAGAGCCCTCTTTACTCTTTCTCCATTTTTACACGCTACAGTCATGCCTCTCTATTTCTCCACACTAATTCAAGAGCAAAAGTGTGAATTCCATAAATATATGATTGAAAATATGTTTGAAGAAAAATAAATTTTAAAAAATGAAGACCAAACATGTTAACAAATGAATATATTTATTTTTCGAAAAATAAGTTTTTATTACCATTGTATTTTTATCGTGAAATAATTCTAATCTTAATATGTTAGATTGTGCTTAAAAATTACATAATTTATCAAATATAATTTTTAAAATTAATTTTTATAAAGTAATATGTTTTTATGAATTTATTTTTTTAGTAAAATAATGTTATGGAGGTTCAAGCATGAGCCTCTGTTATTCCGGAGGCTCAAGCATGTTATTCCGGATGCTCATGCTTGAGCCTCCAGAATTCTGGAGGCCTCCATGTTGAGCCTCCATAACATATTATTTTTTAAAATTAATAAAAAATTTATATTTTTTAGTATTATTATATTTCACCTTCAAAAAAATCATAAAAACATATTATTTTATAAAAATTAATTTTAAAAATTATATTTGGTAGATTATCAAATTTTGAAACACAATCTAACATATTAAAATTAGAATCATTTCATGATAAAAATGAAATGGTAATAAAAGTTCATTTCTCGAAAAATAAATATATTTCATATAATTATGGAATTCACACTTTTGCTCTTGAATTAACTCACTCAATAAATTATTATTTAAACGGTTCGTAAACATTTTGATTGATATTATTTTTTGGTCATCCAAATGGTTATTATATACCTTTTACGTACATATATAAAAATAATATTTTTATTTAAATTTACTTATGTACTCAAAAATGAACTTTCTAAAGATATATAGTTGATAGCGGGAGAAAATGACGAAAGAGATAATGTAGAGAAATAGAGAAGCATGGTTGTAGCGTGTAAAAATGGAGAAAGAGTAAGCCTCCATTATTTTATGTATTTTTATTTTAAGAATATTAAAAAAATTAAGTTGATTAAATGAAATTAAATTATTATACTGAGAGCCAACGAAAAAATCAGAAAGTAAAAAAATGCACGTTGAGGAGCACACATGAGCCTCCATATTATGGAGGCTTTATCTTCTCCATAAAGCCTCCGTATTATGGAGGCTTTGCTCCATAATATGGAGGCCTTGTCTCCATAATATATATATATTTTTTAATATATACTAAATTATTATTTTTTAAATATTGTTAGCATGATGTGTGTGTGGAAAAATATTTGTCAATCACCATAAACAAAATTCTTCACAAAATGCAAAAAAATAAAAATGCATAATAAATCTTCTTATTACGCAAATAAAATTACAATAATTTTTTTTTTACAAATAACATAAAAAATCATTTTTATTTTCAACAAAAAAACATATTTAAAAATTAGCAATTTCATAACAAATTTTTTTTTAAAAAAAATTCGGAAATACAATTATAAAAAAGGAAACAATATTGAATTAAAACATTTAATACTTAAGAAATTCAATATTAAATAAATTTTATACATTTATAACAAATTATAAATCCATATATGCAGCTTACCGTATATGTTGCCTACCGTATTTGCAATTTGCCGTATTTTTATATATCGATTTTTACATTTACAAATACCGAGAATGCAGAATATCGTACATTCACTTACCAAACCGAATTTCAAAAATTTTTCCACATTTTTATTTTTTCAATATAAGCATAAAATAAATATTAAATATATATGAAACACAAAATATAAATACATATGAATATGGTGCCGAGAGAAATCAGTATCGTAGTTTTACGTTACAACTAATTTTTTTTTCAATTTAAAATTCTTTTTAATTATTTTCTCTTCAAATTTTTTACTTATAAGTAATTTTTTGTAAAAAATTTTCTGTCTTATATTATCTTTATTTTTAAATTTTTTGGGAGGTATGGAAATTGCGTGTTGCAGTGTTTTCTTACAGTGTAAATATTTTTTAATTAAAATTGAAAAAATTAAGTTTTTTCATAAAAAAAAAATTAAAAAGTATTTTAAATCGAAAAAAATATTTATAATATGAATAAAACAAATAAAAAATAAATAAATGAGGAAAAAAATATAAAACGAAAAAGAAATCTCCATGTATCCTGCGCTAATGTAATGAACCAAACGATTAGAATTTACCAAATATTTCGAATCTTCAACCAATTTTAAAAAATTTATAGTTTTAACGCTAATAAAAATACAATAAATACAAAACTCGTGCAACGCACGTGTCAAAGAACAGTAATATACAAATCTTATATGGTGCAATTTTCAAAACCCATAAAGTAATATAAATGTTATCATAGGAGTTACACATGTTTAAATGTGTAATAATAATATAATTACACGAGTTTCATAGCTTACAAACACAATTGAAGGTCACACTTAATCATCACAAATCTATGCACAAATCACATACCAAGAATTGTCTGCATACAAATTACAAACATGACTTTAAATTGTTGGAAAAAATGGGTGATCTGTGTATAGATGAATTATCAATTAACACAATAAAATAAAAAATACAATTATTGCATAAACATGTAATACGATAACATTATAATTCAACATGATATAAACATAAAAAGAGAAGGGTTAGAAATGCAAGCTTTAGGAGTCACGTCGAAAATACTATCCTAAAGTCATGTTGCCTCCCTTTCGTGTGGATACTTTCGATATTACACGGCTCCAAGATACAACTTATATTGCTCACAACTTGTTCTCTTCCTATGGGCACAACCATAGAAATATAAATGAACAAGCATCTTTTCGAGTTGTCAAAATAGTATAGTGTACAAGATTAGATAGAATAATACTTCAAGTTGTGTTTTCATGTTATGTTTTTCATCTCTATGAAAATCATTCTCTTTTATGGGGATAAATAAATTTAACCCCTACACTTATGAGAATTAAGTCATTTAACATGTATGTTACATTATAATATTATTAATTTAATTTTATATTAAATTGATATTAAAATAGAAACAACACATTTAAAAGTATTAATTTGAAAATTTAAAACTTAAATTATTTATTTTCCAACAAATTATAATTCACAAAAAAAAAAAATTCAAAATTCAATTGAAAATCGGAAAGGTCATGGACCTTTGGTTACCCATTTTTCAATGTGGACATTGGAGACCTAGACACTAATTTATTTTTCATTTTCTCTCATTTTCAATTATACATCGACTCCCACATGGAAATCAACAACTATTGCCAGTCGTTTACAGTCGATCTCAACTGTAATTGCCACATGGATTTCTAAAATTGAAGTTTAAACTTTCTACTTTTCTTTTTCAAATGTTCTCTCTCTTCTTTTTTTTCCTCAATCAGTAGTGAAACTAGAATCAAACCAAAAAAATCAGAACAAAATGATTCGGTTCCATATCTTAAAAAAAAAAAAGGCTTTTTAATCAAAAAAATCATTGGTTCACAATTCGGTTCAATTCTCCTGGAACCAGAATCAAATGAAACAATATCCACCCCCAATAAAGTCTAGGCTTTGATTTTGACCACTCGGGGAGTCGTAATATATCGACTCAAGAAACAATGTCTTGTTAATTGTCAAAAATGAAGAAACCAATATATTCTGCCATTGGAATAGCAAGAAAAGTTTTCCAAAAATTATTTTGTTCACTAAATCCAAATAAAAAGTGTGCTTATTGCATTCGAATTCCCGTAGATCGTTGGACGAACCAACAGATATAGGAGAACCCATTCGATCACTCACATAGTTTGAACTACTAGAACATAGCCTAATTTAGTCCAAGTCATCTAGTAGCAAGCACTAACATCTACCACAAGGTAAACCACCACCTTTTAGGCTAATCATTCTATCATCGAAGATGACGATAGACAACAACTCCCCTGACACAGCTTACAAGTATGCTTGATGACCATTTCCTTCACTTGAAGACAACAAGAAAATAGATGGGGAGGGGGGTTTTCGTGCAAAATCGAATGTTAGGTGGATAAAATGGGAAGCCAAGACTTGTAAATAGAGCTGGACAAAACTCTCAAATCAAACCCGAAATTCTTCTCAAACTAAATACTCGAAAGGGTATTTGAATCGAGAACCGACGAATACGGTTCGTTTCTCGGTTCTAGACCAAGAACCGAATAAAAACTGAATCTTTCTAATTTTTTTTATATTGAAAAAATCAAATTATTTAAATTTTTTTTAAACAAAGTAACTAATTATGTGATTGATTGATACTCTATCTCCCAATCCCTTGCCTAACTAGTTTGACCTAACCAAACCAATTCCTAAATCCAATTTTTTGACCCAATTGATAATTAAATCAAATAGTTAGTCAGTATTAATATTATTTAAAAATATTTTATCTCTATGACTTCTAATCCAAGATTTTTTTTTTTTTAATGTAGACTTGAAGGCTGAAGCAAATAAATTATTGATATGAATCGTCAATATTTTAATATTAGTATCCACTTTTTGATATTTGTATATGACTATATGTTGGTAAATTAATCTTATTGGACAACTTGTTATTTATATATTTTTTTATTGGACTTCATTAATTTGTAAAAACTATAATTGAATATGTTATTAGTTGTATTTATATAGTATTGTTGTAAATATTTAAAATGTAATTATGGTATGGAACCGAACCGAACGGGACCATGTCCGCCTCTACTTGTAAACAAGCAAACTCAGCAATATATTAACGGGAAGAAATTATCAAACTTGCAACCAAATCTGATAGAATGGTAGTCTTCTAGGAATACGAATGGAGCTCGCTCATGCATAGAAGAGATTAATTTAGGTTATACCCGGAAAGTGGAGTAGATCTCTCGGACATCATCTCTGATTACGACTACTTTCGTGTTAATGCAAAATTGATGGGAAAGTTTCCACCAAGAAAAAGATGCCGGAACCTAGTCACTCAGTTGCATCACAAGCTGCAATTGATTGGGAAAAGTTCCAGAGGGTTCAAAAGCTGCTCCATAGTTACTCTCCAATTTCACACTGATATATTGGAGAATGAACAGCAGGAGATTAAGATAAACTACTTCAGACCTGACCCAGATGGATGATTCGGTTCAAAATCCCCAAGAACAAAGACTGGAAGCTGGTTCGAGGTAGAGTCCCTCTTGAATCTTGTTTCTCGTGGCAAACTTAAAGGCAACCTATCTTGGCCATCTCTCGAACTTGGGCCTGTCTCAGTCTTCAAACCATCTCTAATTGGAGCGGTCAAAAGTGGGCCGCCAAAGAAGATGGACTCCCCGGTGTACATTAGCTTCTCCGACTGCCGGACAGGAGGCTTTATAGCAGGCAGCTGCAAAGACTCCCGAGGTAGAACTGCAGGTCTCTTATCAATATTACTTAGCGCAGTATTTGGGTTTGATACTCCTGCTTGTAAAGATGATTTTCTCCGGGATTCTGAAGCTGACACTGGAACAGAGATGTACCTTCCAGCTTCTTGGTCCCAAACAACAGATGTCCTTTTAACATCTCTGAGGAGAGAAGCAGTTGGACCCAGACCCGCAGCCAGAGCAGGAGCAGGAGCCGGAGCCGGAGCCGGAGCCGGAGCCGGAGCAGGAACAGCAGGAGCAGGAGCAGGAGCAGGAGCAGGAGCAGAGAGTAGTAATGGATCCATAGTGCTACTCTTTTGCATGATATTTTCATCGAACCCTGATGAAGTGTGCAACACTGGAGGACTATTACTCGGGAAAACGGTTCTTGAGGTTAAAGGTCGATCAGGAACCACACCGGCTGGTGCTGAATTAGTGGCAACAAAGTGTCTCAAACCATGAGCTTGAGGAAGGGGACTTAGCATGACTGATTCATGAACATGGCTGGGACTGCTGAAGCTACTCACACTTTGAGTGCCAGTTTCATATTCATCACGGCTGCCTTGACTCAGGGCATGAAAATTTCGCGGAGGAGAGAGTTTCAAATCGTTTCTGAAATTTTTGTTTCCTCCAATTTCGGTGCTTACACTGCTTCTAACACTCGCATTCTCGCTGGAACTTAATTCAGAATCTGGTAAGCGTTTGTTATCAACAGGACGCAATACAGAGGACGATGCCCTCGCTTTTGCAGCTGCTTTTATAGCTTCATTGGAATCTAGTTTTGCAAGTTTCCATGCACTTCTACGAACCTGTCTTTTCAGTGCTTTATTTCCCTTCTCACCAAATCCAGCAGCATCTGGATCAACTGTTGACCGTACCATTCCAGGTCCCAGCTGAGGTGCAACTTCTTCCTGATATTCACGGTTAAGATGCAGAGTGAACAATTATGAAATAATCTAGGGTTTGAGATGAGTTGAGAGTAAATAATCACGAGAGGCAAAGGAAATACATTTTATTGAATGAAGGATAGCAGAATTAAAGAAAAATAATGGGAATTGTAAAACTATTTGTCAAGAGATTAATTACAGGAGCCAAAATTTTCTTTATTTTTTCCTCAAATTGAAATGGTGAAAAGCTCATGGCCAGAAAGCATCAGTAAGAAATTGGACAGCAATTTGTTGAAAATAAAGTTGAAGCTTCCGGAGAATTTCAATCTTTTGCAAACATTCCATTTGACAAGAATTCACAAAGCAGAAACTTACAAGATAACTGTGTGTGTTTTAGATTGATCAAAGAACCACTGCATTATGAAAATCTGACCGGCAGAACGACTGCATTATGATCAGTTTAAAGTAGTATTCTGTACTATACTGTCGATTCTTCCATAAGAAGAACCATTTTGGAAAAGGCATTAAACATAAACAAGTCTGACAGTGTATAAACAAGCAGGTGAGAATTGTCAGTGTTCAGCCAAAAAATTTGTAATTAAATAAACTCCAGCCAGGTGCACAAGTCAGAGGTAAGTAAAAAAACCAAACAGCTACATATGGAGCATCTTTCGCTTAGCTTAAAAAGTTAACTATAAGTAAGCAAGTTTTAAAGTATATAATTGGATTTATTGATCAAAACTTGAAATAAACTACTTATTCTAACATTAACATAAGAGTTACTCTCAAATTAAGTTCTTACTTTCCAGACATGTTTAGAAACAAAAAATCAATCAAAAAAAAATCATTAAAGCTGCTGTAACATACTCTTTCCCATAACTTCTCATAACAGAACTATTTAAGCTTCGCCAAACACATTCATAATTCTGTATATCCATAAACAGCTTCTAGCATGTCTTATCTAACCAGAAAGTAAAACTTAAGTTCACCTGATAATCAACAAACACCCTAGGAGGGGTGCACCATGCTCCTTTATACTGCAGGCCCATTGAACTTCCACCACTGAAGCCAGTAGTAGCAGACCCAGACGGAGAATATATTATATTAGGGAGTTCCAAATCCATAGAAGCACCAGCAGGTGCCTCGCTCATGGCCCTCATTGCCACAACATATTCATAAGTTGTAATTCCCTGATACAACACAGCAAGTTATATGATCACCTGAATTTAGAATCCTCCATTCCAGGTATCTCTTTCAAAACAATAGATCCCCTTAAAGAATTTATTACAAATTCAAAAGCAACATTCCACTGTAAAAGTATTTGAAGATTGTAAACTGTACTCCTAATTCATTAGAAATTATATATAGATTGGCAAATCATAGAGAAAATAGAACTCAAGGTACATACCTTTCTAATTAGTATCATGTGGAAAAAGAAAAGTTCAGCCAAGGGCATGCAAGCCAACAAAGACACTGCTGTACATACGATCTGCAGAACGGAATATTAATCATGATAAGAACTATTGGCATTATTAGTTAATGGGGAAAAAAAGAAAAAAAGGGGGGGAAACTAGCTTTGAAGTCATATTTGAAGGTAATATTACCACAACAGCTGCAAATGGAGACCTAGAGAAACCATTTCCTAGTCTATCAACTATTTCAGTCTCCATGCTCTTCTTATTAACGAAGCAACGAACTACAACTGCAATTCCAACTCCAGCTTCAATAACAAGCTGAGATAGAAAGAGATCAGAGTTCAGAGATCTAAAGCTTAACATCCATTCAGTCTATAGTTTCCCTCCAAACGTACCCATACAAGACTGATGGCCATTAGTGATATAAATGTTACATAGTTTTTTCGCCCAACACAGTTGTTCAGCCACTGGAATAATCAACACAATGAAGTTAGATTCCTTAATTTAAAGAATTACTATCTCAAATACCCGAAGACATGAAAGATGCATAATGTAAACCATACACATCAAGTACCCGACAATGGTGATCGAATCCATCCACACATTTGTCGCAACTTCTACAATGTTTACTGAACTTACCAACCTACAAAGTAGCAGATTTGGTTATGAGAGCCAAGATATATGAGTTAAGTTGAAAAAACAACATTGCATGGAAATTTCTGAACACAGGATACATAAGTACAAGAAATAATGACATAGAAACTGATATTTGTGTACGCATTTTATCACAAAGTCCTCTCGTTTTTTTTTTTCCCATCCATCTGCATAAGATTAGTACTTTCAGTCTAAAAGGAGTATACTTAATCCATTTAATAGAATCCATGGAGGAGGTTATTTAAAATTCATCGAAGAAGTTCCAATGCTAGAACATCAATGATTAAGAGAGTTTTACACGATCCAAAATATATGTAAAGAATCCAGTGTGTATTTTCTCAAGAAAGGTCACAACTGTGTATCAATTTCAAGAGACTTTATGAATCAAAACACAGTAGTTATGGTCTAACTCACAAAGTGTTAAATCATATGTTGAAAATACCCATTAGGGTGATAGGAAAAGGCTGAAGTCCACGTGTTGATAAGAAGATCTAAGAATATTGGGCAGTGTTGGACATCTATAGATATGAAATTAATGAGTTATCTGACTAATATTGGTTTTTCTGTAAATACTGTGAAACCCAGTGAAGAGGAGATCAGCCCAGTTCATAAGGCTCCAACTGCTGCTGGGTAAAGATAGGATTTACCACCCTGTAACCCATATGTGGAGAAGCGGTTTTCATCTTTCAAAACCACCGTACATGGTGGTCAAATCAATTAAGAGGTGTGTCAAGAGATCGCCAAGGCTTCTTAATATAGACCTTCTATGAACCGAAATAGGAAGCTTTGTAATCAACTAAAACAATCTCTAAAGCATACAAATCTCCCTGTAGCACCTAATTTCCAATCAATCTCTTTGTTTGATTTTCAAGGTTGGTTCGTTCACAGATCAATTCTGAGCACCATAATCAGTATGACTTCTACTCAGTTCAAGTCTTCAATCAATCCTGTCATATGTTATTCTTAAAGAAACAAAACATTGGTTGAGATAGAGAAAAAGACAGAGAGCCAACCATATACAAAAAATGTAAACTGCGACACAACTACCGATGTATTGTTTCTGATCAAGGCATACTGTTGAGTGCATGCATTAGTTCTACTTGCAACTAATATGACAACAATGTTGTATCATACGCTTGTTATGAGATAAAATATATTCACTCATGTTGGTTTACATAATTCAGATAACTTTGCCTTTTGAGACCTTTAAAATATTTCCTCTAATGGCTCTTGTTATACTGTTTTACTCAACTCTTTTTACCACTTTAGAATCTTGGACACCTTGACCAATAAGTGACTGTCACTAACTGTCTCTCTCTTACATAATTGATAAGTGAATATCGACCGAGCATGCATATTTCCAAGGCTGGACACTTTCTCAGTGAGAGAAACACATTTAGTATAGATTTTGAAGGTCTTAATCACATTCAATATAGATTTTCAAGGTCTTAATAAAAGGAAACAAAGCTAACAAGTGTAAACCACAAAACCAATGTCTATGCCAGCTCCTTTTTTGCAACTTTAAAGATGAGCTTAATGCAATAAAAAAGTTCTGTTATGAACACAGTATTAAACATCCCCTGAAGTAGAACAAAACTGCTGTAGAAAAGGTAAGAAAGCTGCTTTCAATAATGGCAGTCAACTTGGCACAGATATAAGACGTCGATCATAAACCATGTCTCTGAAGAAACACCACATGCTTAAAATGCCTGATAACCAATGGCAATACCAGCATTTTCTCCAATGGGTGGGATTGTTCGATGTAATTATTTTTCATTGGTCTTGTCTGATACCTTAATAAATTTTACAGGCTAGAGAATGCATTTCAGATTTGAGAATCAGCAAGGTGTTAAAATAATTTATCTTAGAATTAAGAAGTCTTCAGAGTATTATAATAAGAAAACAGTTATCAGTTTGAGTTCTATGTTTCATTGAAATGTTCATTGCGTACTGCGATCCATCTTCAAGAGTGATCAAATTATGAAAACTTTTAACATTCTTATATAAAAGTGGCTATGCTAATATTAAGAAGTAAGTATAAGCTGGACTTTATAAGGGGTGATTGCATCTCCAATGACATAATAGGGAAGTGAATATAACTTTTGGCTTCCTAACTTTCCTATATATAGAACATGAAGAAATACAGCTATTCCACACCATTCTGATCCTTTTTTCTTTTTTCCATTTTTTTTTTTTTTGGGTGGGGTTACACAGAATATTCCTCCAAAATTATGGCAAGATGACTTCCTCCTTGGAGATATAACTTGACTAGCGGTTCTCACAGACTCAACCGAACCGTTCTTACTCGAGTTAGCTCCTGCTCTAGAGCTTCTTGAAGCCGAGGATGAAGGTGAATGAGTCCCATTACTCATTTCATCAAATTTTATAGGCAGACCCTGTGCAAGCGATCCGTGCTTTTCCCTAGCTTTCTGTGTTAGCTCAGGATCAAATTTCGACATGATACCAGGATCTGCTGGGTTAATAGCAGTACACCGAACATAAAGAATGAAAACGAGGAGTGCCTGCATTGGTTAAACATCACAACATCTTAATTCTATACGTGTATATATCCAGAAAATAGAGTCATGGCTAACTCCGAAGATACACAGGCCAGTAAGCACCTTTCGAGTCAAAGTGTACAAAGTTGAAGACCCATGTAATGTAAGGTTTAAATAAAAATGAAAGCAGTAAAGACATGAGCAATATATAAATATCAATCACTGCTTAAAACTGTCAAAGAAATATTTTCAAGAGGTACATTACATGTCAATACGCTTTTGAAAAATCGTGTGTATGCATGACATGTCTGACATGTGTCGTGTCGGATACATGTGTCTCTGTCGATGTATCATAGCATACCTATATATCAAAAATTAGTATTATCAATTGTATTGTGGATATTACTATTATCTTCAGTGTTGTCTTCTTCTATTTAGTTGGATTATATAGTTTTTTCCTAATATGTGGGGACTGATCACTCTCCTGACTTGAGACCTATAGGACGGTAGCAGGTGCAAGATAAAAGCTAGGGTTGTACAGCTCCTCTATGAATACTGTTCTACCTGAAACATCAAAATTTCATATTTCGAAGATGGTTACCGTTTTACTATCTGTCTCTGTCAGTCTGTCTCTCTCTCTCTCTCCCCCCTTTTCTTCTAATGTTCTACTATTGTCGTCCTAGCTTTCAGCTTGGTCTCACAAAATAGTCGAACTCCCTTCTTTCATTCGCTCGAAGTGTCCCAAGTTTAAGGTTCTATGTCGAGCAGTATTTTGAAAAGAACTCAAGGCTTATGCTTTGAGGCGAGCCTCACATGAGGCCTTCATTAAGCGTCTCAAATCTTGACCAAATAATGGATCACAAATATTACAATTAAATCTGAATGAAATCTTTTGCGGATCTGCCCATAGTAATAGTGGTGATGCATTTGAATATGTGAGAACAGTTCACATCAATTAGACCAATTACACTTAATAGTCCCTGGTAGTTTTGAACTCTTCGCAAGTTAATTCACCTAGTGCCTCAGCCAGAAAGAAGTTGATTGGCTTACAACTAGCTCCAGTTCCCTGCTTCATTGTTCAAACGATCCTTTCATCATTTTGTTTCAATCGTCAGGACTATTCTCTACTCAAATTCAGTCATTTTTGTTCTCATCAATAAGTTCTTATTTTCAAATCTGTGCAAAGAATAGAATGTTGGTACTTGCAAGCCTTACAGAGTCAGCTGAATTTACATACCACTGGAGAATAGGCAGCAATGAGAGCATACTCCCAGATCTCGCCTCCAAGGAAAGGAGCAAAGAAAGCATAAAATGCAACCACTAAAATGCAAAACACAGTGATAGCAATAACCTGTTAAAGATAACGTCCAGGTTAAGTCAGTATTTTTAAGTGGATAAAATATAAAAAAGCAAATTCTCATGAGATCCAACATTAAAAAATCCAGTTATGTCACATTAGCGAAGTACCTTCATTAATTAATCACCAGTATTACGTTAAGGGACGAACATAAAATTATATGGCTGCAACTTAAACAGTTTCATCAAAGTATCAAGAGATAAAAAAAAAAAAAAATACACGTGCTGTTTCCACGTGATTAAGAAAACATGCAAAACTTCTCCCACCTTTGTCACACCCTAAAATAAATTAAATAATTTTAGTTTCACATTATTTTATTCGGAATCTTGTTTTCAATCTTAGTTATATTTATCTTATCCCTAATCTTTTGATATGCCATTTCCATTAATCTATTTAATTGATTGTGTTAAATTGGAATTCCCTATTTCCACAGCTCAGTCTCTACCAATTTGTCAACCATAAATCGAAGTAACATGCTGGGTATCTTAAAACTCGAAAAAGCAAAAAATAAATAAATAAAGAGCGAGAGAGAGAGAGAGCAGTTGAACCAGCTGGTCCTATCCGGTCTGATTTTTACAACATTGCAAATGATGCTAAATATTATCATTCTTTATATTATATAATAGAATCACCAAAGTCTACCCTAAGGTGGAGAAGTACAAGATAGAATATTGGTCAGATGATTGCTCTTTCAGTTAATGGAAATCTCCTTATGCATCATCCTATATGAATATAAAATTATTATATTTACCTACTTGTCCCATAAGTTATATCCTTGAAGATTTTTTTTTTTTTTTTTTTTTTTTTTTTTTTTTTTACCAATTTCACTTTTCTTCATAATTTGGATCCAGCAACTACTCCTCCATAAGCTAATACCCCAGCAAAATAGCCCACCGTTGTCATTTCCCCCAACTGTAAGCAATTTCAATTATAAACAGCAAGAACAAATCAATTAATTAACTAACAGCGCAAAAAGAATATCTCGAAAAATACAACAAGGTAAAGAGAGAATTAATCTGCAGCAGAACCTGATAGGTGTGAGCTGGTAGTTGCCACCCGTGTTTTCTCACCATAGCTTCTTTACTTCGCCAAATTCTATGTTCACAGTCGAATTCACACGCATTATAGTGTGAGTATGTGTGTGAGAGATAGAGATAGAAAAAAGTGAGATAGAACTGACCTTTTTTTCTTTTTGCCCTTCAAAACCCAGAAAGTAAACTAACTTGATTTGCTAAACAAAACTACAAAAAGTTGAAAACTACGGATAGGGAATTTTCGTGAAAATCGTTATAAAACTGGGTCTGCAAAAGTAAATAGCAAATTTTCAAAACAACAGACAGAAACATTTCTGGAAAATCATTATAATTTCCCAAGATTCGAAAAGAATAAAAATATAAGTTCGGAACAAAATTACAAGATACCGAACGTAAGAGAGAGAAATGGACAAAGATGGAAGTTTTCTGTTCGATTTTTCCAGTTAAGGAAGAAGAAAACAAAGGTACAAACGCAAATGGACAAATGACGTCGAAGAGAGTGAGGGTTTACGGCCGGTGAAGTACAAGTGATTAGAGTGGTGAGTTTAAAAAATTAAAAAATTAAAAAAAGGGTTGAAACCCAAACTTGACACCCCCACCCCCGGTCTCGTGTTTGGAGCATCGTAAGGGAGGTAAATCGAAAAATATGCCCCAACAGGTTAAGAAAGAAGAGTTTGTCCGTACACTGATACTCACAAAGAGTCCAATTTCATATCTCAAAAATCGAACCCTCACTCTGCAACTGTCAACAAGATTGAGACTACCTCGCTCTTATCTTTTGCACCGCTGAGTTATGCCCTCGTGGGGCAGAGTTGTGGGTTTTGCACTACCATTGGTTGGACTTCCCTGGCACATTTATTTTGTCTTTTTATTTTCTTCTGTTTATCATACTTACCAGGCGCATTTATTTTTTCTTTTTATTTTTTCTGTTTATTATACCTTTTCAAAGAGGTTCGATTAATTTTGTGCTTTATAAAAACCCAATTTGAGTCCCTTTTTTCTATAATAAATTTTTTGAGTAACTTGTATTTAAATAGTAGATTTTTTTTTAAAAAATACGTGTAAATTATTTTATTATGAAAATATATGATTACAAATTATTTTTAAAGAATTGAACTCAAACATTAACAAACTAAAGGAATAACATAGTTGTGTTATTCATAAGAAAATTATGCAACAAAACATGCGCACCCAATTAGATGTTAAAGCGGAGAGGGAGTAATAGGCCTAGCTGATGATCGATGACGATTCCAATGAGGCAATGGAATTGTAACAATCTCCACAATAGCGACAATGTTGACGATCGCAAATAAAATAAGGGCATATGTATATAATAATATAATATAAAACATTGTAACACATTATGTTGCAAAGTGTATTGTTAAAAAATTCAAAACTAAAAAATAATAAAAATGGCATTTTTATAATAATATAAATAATAACAACAACAACAATAATAAAAAAGATGTTCAAAAGTGAAATGGGAATTAGTTTTATCTTTAATATTATTTGTGAAATGTTTTCAAGAAAAAAAAAGTAACAGCATAGTCGATAATTGAGTTGGTGAGTTATAACACAACTTCTTCTTCTCCTTCTTCTATTTTTTTAATGTCCCAACCTTCAAAATGTGGTTTTAAGTCTCTTATTTATTTAAATTTCTGAAACTGTTTGAGATCGCTTTACAATATCCACCCCACTTAAAGTTAGAGGAAAAATTATCTTACAAAAAATAAAATTTTTGATTAACTTTTATTTAAAGAGTAGATATAAAAAAAAAGTAAATTATTTTATTATGAAAATATATGATTACAAATTATTTTTAAAGAATTGAACTCAAACATTAACAAAATAAGGGAATAACATAGTTGTGTTATTAAAAGAAAAGAAAATTATGCAACAAAACATGCGCACCCAATTAGATGTTAAAGCGGGGAGGGGGTAATAGGCCTAGCGGATTATCGATGACGATTCCAATGAGGCAATGGAATTGTAACAATCTCCACAATAGCAAGAATGTTGATGATAGCAATTAAAATAAGGGCATATGTATATAATAATATAATATAAAACATTGTAACACGTTGTGTTGCAAAGTGTATTGTAAAAAAATTTAAAACTAAAAAATAATAAAAATGGAAATTTTATATTAATATAAATAATAACAACAACAATAATAAAAAAAAAATGTTCAGAAGTGAATTAGGAATTAGTTTTTATCTTTAATATTATTTGTGAAATGTTTAAAAAAAAAAAAAAAAGTAACAGCATAATTGATAATTGAGTTGGTGAGTTATAACACAACTTCTTCTTCTCATTCTTCTTCTTTTTTAATGTCCCAACCTTCAAAATGTGGTTTTAAGTCTCTTATTTATTTAAATTTCTGAAACCTTAAAGATCGCTTTACAATTTCTACGCCACTCAAAGTTAGAGGAAAAATTATCAAGCTACTTAATATTTATTTCCAATTCAAAGTTGCTTACTATTTTGACGATTCTTGACGTGGAGACCCAAATTTACATAGATTGGGGATTAGAAAGATTGAAAATCGAGAACTATGTTAGCCCAATTCTAATTTTCCAATTTTTTCCTTCATTTTTTCATCAACATATGTTGAACTCTTTAAATCGGTATCTTACATTTTATCTATCTTAGAATCGTCAATATAAAAATATATATCTAAATGAACCAAGTAAAAAAATGGAAAAATAGAAACATTAGTGCCTAATGTATTAATAACGAATGACCTTGTATTATAATTACATGCTCATTCTCAAGTGATAATAATTAGAGAAATGCTAAATGGCCACGGTCATTTGCACATACCCTGGCTAGATTCTTTTTTATGGGGGAGAGGGGGGATGATTTTTTGGCATTAAAAAATGGGGTGGGCCTCCTATAAGAGAGAATCTGGCCAGGGTCTGTGCAAATGACCCTGGTCATTTAGCATTTCTCTAATCATTATTATTATTATTATTTTGTTAAATCATCACTTAAAGTATGTTTGATTGTAAAGATGAAACTGAATTACTTAGAAAACGAGTTTCATCGAATTGAATTGCCTAAAAATCGTTTTCTTGAGAATTGTAAATTATTGTGTTTGATTGGTATAATTTTCTACTTGAAAAATGTTGAAATAAAAGTGTATTTTGATGTTCGATTGACTTTATTTTACATGAAAATTGTCAATTAAAGAGATAAAATTTACTGGTATTGGGGATGAAATTTGTTTCCATTGCCAAAATCCAAAAAAATTCAAGAAAATCATCTATCTTTTAGTATTCGTTTGGTTTTGTTTTACATGAAATTAAAAGGAAATATTTTTTTACATAACTCTTAGAATTTGTTTCCGTTGCCACAAAAAATAAAAAATAAAAAATAAAACTAGAATTCAAATTCTCACCATTTTGGTGAGAATTCAAATTCAATCAATAGAAGGAAAATATTGATGTGGCGAAGGTTGGTGGAATTCCGATTCCATGAAATTAAAAGGCTATCAAACAAGCCATTTTGTGAGAACAGAAATTCCATTTGCATTTTCTAGGGAAAATAATGGCCAATCAAACAGGCTATTAGTTTATATGGACACTAATCCAGGTGAAGAAAAGTAAAAACTAGCTCTTTAAGGATGCCCATGAAATGAATGGATAACGATTTAATAGAATTTGGACGGTTCAATAGGATCGACTATATAACTATTCTAAAAAATAAAAATGAAATAAAAAAAATTTATGTATAGATCACATTCTTTGTTCACGTCTCTGCCCCAATTGCCTAACAGGGTGAAACAAAATATTTTGAACAATGCTATAAATACAAATTTTCCTATAGAATTTGAGCTGTCTTTCTGTAATTGGCTGTTGCCAAAAACAGTTTTTCGCAACAGCAAATCACAAAAAGACAGTCTTCGTATACCAATTCTATTAAAAAAAATCTGTACTTGCAAATTAATTGAAATCTTTCACTATTTCTCAAAAAAAAAAAAAAAGTAACGAGTCCTTAGACACGACGATATTTTCTATCTCCAGCCGGATTACCAAAGGAAAAAGGCAGAAGCTGTGTGGAGGAAAGGTGGTCCTCATGCAAATAAGGCCCACGTAGAGGTTTAAAAGGGTGTGGAGGAAGACTTTTCAAAATCATAAATCAAAAATCGGGTGTTAATCTAAGTCCAATTTAATCCCAAACCCTAAAATTCATTTCTCTCCGTCTCTCTCTCCTCACTCTTCCCACCAAACCCACATTTATGTGAAAATAGAAGCTGCACCCAATAAATTTCAAATGGTTGGATTTATTATTCTTATTTTGAAAATCAAGATTTATGGAGACCGACTAGCAGTGATAGAGCTCCGACGAGAAGGAGGGGACAATGTTGATGGTGGACGAATCCAAACCGAAAAGTCATTCATTAATATAAGAAATGCAGGCGTCGGTGACCGGTTCATCGATTTTGAGCTCGAGTTGGGTTACTTGCTCAGCTTCAGGATTCGAATCCGTTTGAGAGTCATTTGGAGCTACAGTGTTGTTGGTGGTAGAGTTGTTGTGTTTATGTTGGCGGCAACGACAATGATGACGAGGTGGGATAAAAAGTGTTTGTGACCAACTATATGGTTGATTTGTGATTAAGTATTGTAGTGGATGGGGTGTTTGATGCATGTGATCAGTGTTTGCGTGAAACCCGCAAGCGTATAAGATCGTTGAGAAGTAATAGATCTAGTGAGTTAGAGTATCGTACCACGAGAAATAAAATTTAATTGAGTGTACTAGTCTTTCATTAAATTCAAAGCGCGCAAATTAAAAGTGATTTTTTTGTGATTTTTAATTATTCTAATTGAATCTACGAAAACATATAAAATGCGAATTTAAAATGTATATGAGAATAGTGTATTGAATTACGAATTCACCTATTATTATCTATTCCAATTCTCGACTATGTAGTTAGTTTCGCTCTTGTATTTTTGACAATCGATAATTCTATTGTAATTAATTTTTCTTTCCAAGACAAATTAAATTTATCCTATTCACGACCTGATCATATTCCTAATCTGAATTCATATGAATAAAATGCATTCAATTTCACAGTTATCTCAAAGATTGTACACGTGATAAATTTTATTCCTAAAATTTATTGCACGTATGCTAATAATGTAATGTTCTAAACTTATTGTGAACCTCCCAATACTACAACAAGCAACTATATATTTAATTGACGATCAGACAATCAAATAATAAAATTAAGCATGCAAGATTAATCAACAATTGCAAGAATTTAACCAAACCTCATGTCTTGAATTAAAAATAAATAATAACGGGTTTCATCTTCATTCAATATATGAGAAAAATTAGCATAACATAAAATTGGAATTAAATACATAAAATTGGAAAAACATAACCGAGAAATTGATGAAACGCCATTAATTCCACAAATTTGCACGACTTTTGTGCGAGTGTAACCGGTTGTTTTCTTCTCGTTTACTGCAAACTGCTCCAAATTGTGTGTGTTGTTTATTTATAAAATTCAGCCCAAGCAGCCAGCAATCTTCTCTCCAATTTCTATCAATTTCGGCTGCCTTTTTGTCTATATCATAAAACCCAGCAACCAACTTGTATTTTATTCCAACTCCAATTCTACCCAAAGCTGCCACTTTTGTTTGTCTTGTATATATGTTAAATTCCAAGAATTCCAAGCAACCGACAATTGTGTATCGCTGTCTTCTTCTCCCCCAGCTGCGTGATGTGTATATATATCTATTTATCCCAGTTGGCTTGTGTTCACCTCCAAGCAGCTCTCCAATTATCTTCCCAGCCGGTAGTTACCTCCTCTCTCTCCTCTTTTTTCTTTGCGCGTGTGTGTGTATATAGAGAGAGAGAGAGAGAGAGATCCTATAGCCGCAGCCCCCAACTCTTTCCAGGAATCCCTATTCCCATTAATTTCAATTACCCACTCCTAGTCAATAAGGGGCCCAATTAGATTGATATTTGCTTTGGGGTCGTCAATTCTTCCATGCAATGAAAGGTTGTCATTCTCTTCACTCTTTTGTCGGCTTTTATCCTTCAACTTTTATTTAGGTGAGGTTTAGTCCACAAACTTCTATTTAATAGCCAATTGATCATTTTCTTTCCCAATTGTTTCAAAACGGGTCCTTCACTAAAAACAAAACCTAAGTTAAATAGAAATTAATATTTTGATGACTTAAAAGTTTAATAATGTGGTATAAATAAATACACAAATTGTGCTCATCAAAAACCCCAAAACTTAAACCTTTGTTCGTCCTCGAACAAAACTATAACCTAAATAACAATAAACAAACAAACATGCAAAAATATTTGGTTAGACGTTTAGCTGTTTACCTCAGGATTTGAAATCACGACATTAAATCTATTAATTGCTTCAAAATCACAATACCAAACTAATATCCACTTTACCAATTCAAAACTGACGTGTTAGTGTGAAGAACTAATTTGACATAAATGAATTAACCAGTTTTTCCAACTCTCGACCCTCTATGGTCAAATATATCCTTTCATTTCTCGCAAGATTCACACACACTCCAAACTTATTCTTTTTCATTATTTTCCCGGCGTGTGATCTAAAATTGAATTTCTCATTACTATTCTCACCCTCTCCAATTCAGATGGACGTCACTAGTTGCAAGTCAACACATCAATGAATAAGGATTCTCAAATTATTTGATTGCTTCGACCGTCAAGACTCGATTAGGCTATTATTCCTTCATTGAAAGTCAAATTTTCTCAAACAAGTGTTGGGACTTATAAGGCATTTGCTTTTGCTTTTGCTTTTTTTTTTTCTCTCTTTTTTTTTTTTAAACTTACTTTTTCTCTGATTTTTAATTTTTAAATTTTTTTGTCTCCCCCTTAAACTTTCTAGATGACCCAAGTAGCAGGTTTTAGGCCGGTATCTCCCAAGTCAAATGACTTTAGGGCATCAGATTTTAAGATACCTTTGTAGACTTAATTGCTCAAGTCATAAAAGCTCTAAAAAGAAATTTTAAATTTCAAAATATATGTCTTAATTAGTACAATGCCCCTTATCACACACCCATTCAAGCAAACTAACCCCCAATTTAAGACTTTCTCCTAATTTTATCGTGTTAATCTCAAGCAATCCACACAAACTTTTCACACAAGGAATCCACATTCATATCCTATCTTTCTACAACAGTAAGATCTTTCCAAATTGTGCTAAATTTGATCTAAGGATAATTAATTAGTATAGTTCAGGTAAAGCATCTATATCGATTTAAATCAATCTATCAAATGTATGAATCAACTCATTTCATCATAATGTCAAGCTCATGTCTAATGCATGTATAATACCAAGTTTTGCAAATTCAAGCTTCAATCGATCTAGCATGCATCATATCCACAGTTTGTAAATTAACACCAAATCTCAAATTTAATCATCATTGTCAGCTAGACTATTTAACCCATACAAGCACACGACCAAGAATAAGTAAAAAAAATTGACGATTTTTTTTTTAAAACTTGCCCAAAAAAAAAAACAATTTTTTTTCTTTTTAAATAAACACACAAAAACAAATGCACAAAAAAAATACGAAAATAAAAAATTCAAAGTTTTTCTCACCCTCAAACTTAAACTTAATATTATCCTCAATGTCTTAAAACATAATTAAAAATGTAGGGAGACGGGAAGAAAAGGGCGAAGGTACTCCCTGAATTTTTCTGTTGAGTGTGGAAGACTATGGGTAATGGCCGGTTATTGTTCCTCATCATGCTATTCCTTGGTCTATGTTGGTTTGAGTATTTCATGATGCCATGTTCCTGCATATGACAATCAAATCAAACATTAGAGATCAAATAATCTAAAACATGTGTTACTTAGCCTAAACACTCGAGATAACCAACACTAAACTTAAAGGCCTGAACGAAAACACGATAGGATGAAGATAGCTTCTAAATTTAAACGTGCCTAACTCTAATGCAAACTAATAATCAAAACAAGTCTATATGTAATGCGATGCAGAAAGCAGAATAAATAAATAATAATGAAATTGGGTTGCCTCCCAATAAGCGCTTAATTTATAGTCTTTAACTACTCTAGAAATTGAAGGATGAAATTGTATTACTTTCAAAGAGTCGAGGACTTGGAACCAAACACCACAATAATGGGCCTCAACTTGGACCAAATAATGAAGACATGTGGCGGCAGAAGCATTATTGGGTAACACTGATTGCACTTCCTTCTTTCATCTTTCACCCTCTGCACAATTAAATTTTCATCGCTGTCCCTACCAACAATTCCACCTTCATTTAGCCTACCTTTGTAACTCTCCCAATGATCAACTCGTTGGCAATCCTCAAAGTATGATGGTTGCTTGATTGGATTCTCCATGGTGAGGCTCTGTTGCTTATCCTCCACCATCAAGACAATCTCATTAGCATCAAAATCTAGCAAGGCTTGACTTGTAGACAAGAAGGGCCTTCCCAGAATTATTGGCATCTGAGATGCCTCTTCAATGTCGAGGATGATGAGGTCAGCTGGAAAAATAAACTCCCCCGCCTTGATAAGAATGTCTTTGACTATTTCGTAAGGGTGTTTTAGTGATTGGTCCGCTAGCTGAAGGATAATAGATGCCGCCTTGAGATCTCCTAATCCCAGTTTCCTGTAAAGAGGTAAGGGTATTAAATTAATACTCGCTCCTGAATCAATTAAACAATTTATATCATGTAAATTTCCGATGGAATAAGGTAGAGTGAAACTCCTTGGATCTTTAAGTTTGGGAGGGATCCTATGCTGGATGATCGCACTGCACCCTTCAGATAGTGCTATTGTTTCATGTTCTGGCAACTTTCTCTTCTTAGTCAACATCTCTTTCAAAAACTTAGCATAATTTGGAATTTGTAGAATAGCGTCAATAAAAGGAATTTTGATGTGAAGTTGTCCGAGGGTATTCAAAAAATTCTTGAATTGCTTGTCCATTTTATTGTTCTGCAACTGATAAGTGTATTTTCTACACTTATTCGGGGTTTTAAACTACGAAATTTTATTGTTCTTTTTGACAAAATATGACCTAAATTGTATTGTATTATTTTTTTTCTTAGGTAAAACTTGTGTTTGAATGAAGAATTGAATAAAAGAAGCAAAAATTGGTGAAAAATGATGAAGTCCAAAGTACGGGGATTAACTTGGCTATTGGATGCAAAGTTTGGATATCAAAGTCTACATTCTAGAAATTGAAGGATGAAATTGTATTACTTTCAAAGAGTCGGGGACTTGGAACCAAACACCACAATAATGGGCCTCAACTTGGACCAAATAATGAAGACATGTGGCGGCAGAAGCATTATTGGGTAGTAAAACAATTTGGCCTCAAATGCAATTGAAAAAGGAATAAAAGTAAGAAACCAATTGGACCCTGTTGGTTGATGTAAAGTGGAATTGGACTCTTGTTAGGAAGAAAAAAAGATGGGGCAACATCTTGAATTGGAGTCCCCTTTGAAGTCAAACTTGGCGGCTAGGTTAAAATAATATATATTAAATATACACACAGAGAGCCGGGAGAAAAGGGGACTATCCAGGGCTGCATTGAATATAATATACACATTCTGGCAGAAAAAAGGAGAGGATTGGTGAGTTGAATTATATTTAATATACATCTCAATTCTCACACAAAAAGGCAGGAGAGAGGACGGAAGCCCGGGGAATAGATAAACATACATTGACGATTGCAGTTGAAGGCAGAAAAGATGGGCAGAAATTGGAGTAGTCAAACATTGAGGCTGGTTATTATTTATGTACACGCAGAAACGCACGCGAACAATGGAAGACGATACAAGCCCTTGGAATTATTCAAGTTCTATCAAATTTTGGTGATGTTGTTCTATTTTTATGCGTTTAATTCTAACAATATGCTTGGCCAAATCTTCTATTGTATTGGATGAATGATGAATCATTTTGTTTATTTATTTTAATTCAAAACAGGTAACTTAGTTTAATTATTGTGTTTCTTGATTGGTTTTGCATTTCCATTGAATTATTTGATTGCTTGATCACTAATTGGATAGTAAGTTACTTGTTGTAGTGTAGGAATACTCACAATAAGTTTAGAACGCGGTAAAATCAACACATTGACAATAGGTATTAGGAATAATCTCTATGGCATGTGCAATAATCACGTGTAATAAATCCTGTAAATCAATGCATGTTTTTCATATGAATTCGAACTAGGAATAGGATCGGATTTTCATAGGTTTAATATATCTTGGAAAAGAATGTTGAATAAAAGTGGATTATCGGTTGTCTTGAATGCATAAAATTATCTAGATTACAAATTAAGAATTGAAATAAATGGTAATAGGGGGATTCAAGATTCCAATACACTCATTCACATAATATATTAAAACATTTTAATCGCTTTCTTAGATTAGGATTAGTATAGAAAAACATTAAACTCTCTTTTGTGTTACGATAATATCGAATTTGATAAAAACTATCGAATTAGACATTAAACCTTATTCCTCGTGGGACAATAAACTCTTAACTCAGTTATTATTACTTGTCAACGATCTCGTACGCTTGCGGGTTTCACGAGAACAAATTTTTGGCGCCGTTGTCAGGGAATAACAAATTTAATTTTAGTTTAGTAGTTTATATTAGATTCGATTTTTTCACTTTATTTTATTTTTTTATTTTGTTGATTTTGGCTACCCACCACGATCTCTCTTATTTGATATTCTTTCCAAGTGCTATTCAACGGAATATGCAAGATTCTAATGCTGGCACGGTAGAATTATTTTTGCACTAATTAATCTTGACATGGATGATGAGGACGAAAATATATATTGTGAGTTCTGCTATGGGGTGCATTATACTAGCTATTGCTTGTATACATGTACCGAACCAGGAAGGCTCAAGTTCCTACGATTTCAACAATATTTGTGATAGCGAAGATTAGTAATTGACAATGCTAATGAAGACTACATGCCTGCGGATGAGTGTGTCCCTTCAGACACGCTTGTGGGAGTTGGTCCTCTTATGTTAGACGAGGAGGTACTTGCAAAATACTATACTGATCTTGCCAAGTTAGATGAAACAAGATGTGCGTGCGTAGGAGATGGCATATACTGGATCGAATTTAAAAGGTGGGGATACAATCCACTTGAAAAGGTTGAAAAGAAAGAATTGTCAGTGCCCATGGATTTAGATTGTGAACCGACCATTCAAACTCTGGAGATATCAATTATTGAAGAAGAGCATAAAAAGGACGAGAAATTAATTACAAAGGAACCAATCGAAGAAGTGACAATTAATGATTATGAAATTAACACCCATTCTTTCGATATCATTGATTGTCCAACAATTGAATTTGTGATTAAACTCGAGGAGGCAGAAGTGTACATAGTTGATTTCGAATCGGATGAAATAGGCAGGTCGTATTACATTGAAGGAGGCAAAGACAAGATTTGGAGAATTAATGAAAAGTGGACCAAAATTAAAAGAAGCAAACTGGGCAAGTCATCAAAAGCTTTCTTTAGAATTCCATGAGCAAAAACAACAAAGTCTAGCTAAAGGTTATAAATTAAGTGCTTGTTGGGAGGTAACCCAATTTTTCCATCCCTTTTATTTATTTTGCTTTTTAGCTATAGGGTAGTTTAGTTTATTTTTATAGTTTTAATTAGGGAATCATCATCCATATCCCATTTTTCCTTAGGTCACTTATTGGTTTATTGATGTTTGAGCCAAGTAAAACTTGCTCCAGATTTTTTGTGCCTTAATACTTTATTTATCCACATTGTACAGGAACATGACGTCGTGGGACACTTGAACCAACTATTACAGAGGAAACAATGGGAGACATTGAAAAGCTAGCCATTGAATTCTAAACCATATCAGGGAAGTCTTCTCTTCAATTTCTTCTCCACCCCTTTATATGCGGACTAGGATTTAAGACATTGAGGACAATGTCTAATTTAAGTTTTGGGTGGAAAATATAAGTTTTCATTTGTTTTGTGTGTTTTTATGCATATTTTATTGTTTTAAATATCATAAAAATACAAAAAAAGAATTGAAAAAAAATTGAAAAATATTTTCTTTTTGTGTGCTTGCATGAGTTAATTAGCCTGGCTGACAATAAGGCATATATTAAATTATGAATTGATCTATGAATGATGAATATGTTGCATGCTTAAGTTAATTTTTGCTTTTCCATGTGAAGTTGGATATATATTGAGCACGTGAATTAAATTAAACATTGTGTAGGAATAAATTGATTTCATAATTGGATAGGTTGAAATAGTGGACCACAGATGCTATATCTAAAATCACTATATTTTACATTCTTAGACCAAATGTAAAACAGTTTGGGGAGATTTCACTGTTGTAGGAAGATGTTGAGATAAATGGGGATTCCATGTGTGATATTGAAAATCTTGCGTGGATTGTCTGAGGTCAATATGATGAAATTGTGTGAAAATTTTAAATTAAAGGTCGATTTGCTTGAATGAGTGTGTGATAAGGGGCACAGTACTAATCAAGGCATATATTTTGAAATTTAAAATTTCTCTTTGGAACTTTTATGACTCGAGCAATTAAGCCTGCAAGGGTATCTTAAAACCTGATACCCTAAAGTCATCTGACTTGGGAGTCATCAGCCTAAAACTTATTACAGTGGTCATTTAAAAAGCAATCAGAGATGAAGTTGTCCAAAAAAATTGTTCTCTTCGAAACCTTTTTGACTCGAGTTATTAGCCTGTGAGGGTATTTGAAAACTTGATGCCCTAAAATCATCTGATTTGAGAGTCATCGGCCTAAAGTCTACTACATGGACCATCTTGAAAGCTTAAGGGGGAGTGCAAAAATAAAAATAAAAATAAATATGCAAAAGCACTAAATGCCTTGGTTAAGTCCCAATACTTATTTGATGGAATTTGACTTTCGATGAGGGATAATTAACCTAGTTAAATCGTTGAGATTGAAGCAATTAAAATTAAAGGAGAATCCTTATTTATCGACATATTGAACTGCAATTGATGAGATTTACCTAAACTAGAGAAGTGATGATAGTACAAAAAAATCAACCTGAGATCACACACTTGAAAAGAGCAAAAAGAATAAGTTTGGGAGTGTGTGAATCCCACGAGTGAGGATAAGAGCATATCTGGCTATTAAGGGTTGGGAATGGAACAACTTATGAATTCATAATGCTACGCTTAATTCTTCACACACACACACACGTGTTGACTTTGCATTGGAAAAGTATATGTTAATTTCTATATTGTGATTTTGAAGCTGTGCATAGATCTGATTTTACGATTCCAATCCTAAGATAAAAAGCTGGGTTATCTAGCTAAATCTTTCTGCATTGCTTGATTAACTAGCCACCAATTAGGTAATTAGCATTATGTCTTGGTGTGTTTGTTGGGTTTTAGTTTTGTTTGAGGACAAACAAAGAATCAAGTTTGGGGGCTTGATAAGTATATTTTCTACACTTATTCGGGGTTTTAAACTACAGAATTTTATTGTCTTTTTGACAAAATATGACCTAAATTGTATTGTATTATTTTTTTCTTAGGTAAAACTTGTGTTTGAATGAAGAATTGAATAAAAGAAGCAAAAATTGGTGAAAAATGGTGAAGTCCAAAGTACGGGGATTAACTTGGCTATTGAATGCAAAGTTTGGATATCAAAGTCTAGACTCTAGAAATTGAAGGATGAAATTGTATTATTTTCAAAGAATTGGGGACTTGGAACCAAATACTACCATAATGGGCCTCAACTTGGACCAAATAATGAAGACTTGTGGCAGCAAAAGCATTATTGGGTAGTAAAACAATTTGGCCTCAAATGCAATTGAAAAAGGAATAAAAGTAAGAAACCAATTGGACCCCTGTTGGTTGATGTAAGGTGGAATTGGACTCTTGTTAGGAAGAAAAAAGACTGGGCAGCAGCTTGAATTGGAGTCCCCTTTGAAGTCAAACTTGGCGGCTAGGTTAAAATAATATATATTATATATACACACAGAGAGCCGGGAGAAAAGGGGACTGCCCAGGGCTACATTGAATATAATATACACATTCTGGCAGAAAAAGAAGGAGAGGATTGGTGGGATGAATTATATTTAATATACATCTCAATTCTCACACAAAAAGGCAGGAGAGAGGACGGAAGCTTGGGGAATAGATAGACATACATTGGCGGTGACAAAAAGACCGAACAAAATGCGTGAAATTTCTGTCCCAAAAAACCCGCTTTACATTGTGTTGTGTATAGTATATATATTTATAGTTATTTGATCTAAAAGGAAACTAAATAAATTTCCTGAAAATTATCAACAAATCATTCTCCTAAATATTCGCCATTATATATGATAACATCCCCCCCAAATTGATGCTGGGAGGTCAACCAGCAACAATTTGCCAACAAGGAAATGATGTCGTAATCAAGTCAATGCTTTGGTGAATACATCTGCCACTTGGAGATCAGAAGAAATGTAGGGAAGAGATATCACCCTATCCATCAAAGTATCACCAATAAAATGATGATCAACTTCAATGTGCTTCGTACGTTTATGAAATATGAGATTATTTGTAATTTGAATAGCACTAGTGTTGTCCGCATGAAGAGGAGTAGGATTATCTTGAGAAAACCCAAGCTCCTCCATAAGACCTCGTAACCAAATAATCTCAGAACAAGCTGTAGAGATAGCACGATACTCAGTCTCAGTAGATGATTTAGAGACGCGATCCTGTTTCTTACATTTCCAAGAGATTAATGCATCACCCAAAAACATACACCAACTCATAGTAGAACGACGCGTATCCGGACACCCAGCCCAATCAGCATCACTGTAGGTAGAAAGCTGAAGAGATGACCTTTTAGGAAAAAATAACCCACGAGTGGATGATCCACGAATATAGCGAATAATACGACGAACGGCCGCAAGATGAAGATGTCGAGGTGAAGACATAAACTGACTGACCGATGAACGGCATAAGAGAGATCTGGGCGAGTGGTAGTCAAATAGATGAGACTCCCAACGAGGTGATGATATAGTGTAGGATCGTCTAGAAGATCCCTTCATCTTTCCTATACTTTACATTGACTTCCATAGGAGTATCCACAGAAGAAGACTTCTCCAACCCCGCTAACGCAATAAGATCCTGAATATACTTATGCTGGTTTAAGAAAATACCATTGGGTTGATGATGAACTTTGAGTCTTAAGAAGTATGTGAGTTGGCCGAGATCTTTCATGTGAAAAGTTGCATGTAATAACTTTTGAAGCTTTGAAATAAAACCATAGTCAGTGCCAGTAATAATGATATCATCCACATAAACCAAGAGAAGTACAATACCAGAGGTAGACTTGTGGAAGAAGAGAGAAGAATCATACTGACTCTGTGCAAAACTAAAGGTAATGAGTGTGCTACGAAACTTCTCAAACCAAGCCCGGGGAGCCTGCTTGAGTCCATACAAAGAAATTCGTAGTCTACAAACATCATGAGGAGATGAAGTAGACATACCGAAGGGAGCTTCACATAAATCTCTTCGTGAAGATCGCCGTGAAGAAAGGCATTCTTCACATCCAACTGATGTAGGTTCCATGACTGCGAGACAGCAATAGCTAGGATCGTCCTGACTGTGGTCATTTTGGCACCAGGAGAAAATGTCTCCTCATAGTCAACCTCATATTCCTATCTGTTACCCAGAGCTACAAGACGAGCTTTGTACCGATCCAAGGAGCCGTCAAAACGAAGTTTCACAGAGAAAACCCATTTGCTTCCAATAGGTTTCACAGTAGGAAGGCAAGACACCTCAAGGGCCTGAAGTTCTGCTTGGATTGCCTTTCGCAACACTCATGTTCCATGGCCTATTTGTAACAAGTGGAAATGGAAATAGCAGATAAAGTAGCTACAAAAGAAACAGGAGATGAGAAACCGTACTGATCAGGTGGGCGAGAATGACGAGTAAACCGACGAAGACAGATGGGAACTGTAGGAGGATCAGGTGCCAGTTCGAGATCAGGAGGGGGCACATCAGCAGGAGGATCAGACCTACGATTACGTCGTTCATACACAAGTCCTGGCTTAAATCATGCTATAACATCTGTGGAATCAAAGAAGCTAGGCAGGATAGATGAAGATGTAGGGGGTAGCTCAGAATGAGATGGAAAAAATATTGGTTTTCAAAGAAAACCACATTCCTAAAAATACGAATACGTTGAGCATGAGAATCATAGCAAATATAACCTTTTTGAGAGACATCATAACTAAGGAAAGCACATTTAACAGACTGAGCAGTAAATTTATGTCGCTCATGAGCAAGTAGATATACAAAAAAAAAACACAACCAAATGTACGCAGATCAGAATAGGAATGTGAATATCCAAACAGTTTAAAAAATGGAGAAACATGATTTAAAAACCTAATAGGATAGCAATTACAACCCAAGAAGTAATAAGTACTTGGCCATGGACTTGGAAACCCCCCCTGGGAAAGCCGCCGACTCCAACTACCGTCCATGTATGATCCATACTAGATCTGACCAACTGCCCATCCTACATCCTCTACGTTCTTGACCAACTTCTAGGAGAGACATAATTAACTGCATTAATCTCGGTAGCTACGCCACCCACAGAATTTAAAGAACCTAAAGAACCATGAGCGGCTAAGATATTATAAGTTCCTTCCCCTTGACCGAATCTGTAACCTGCATTAGCAGATTCATTTTCTGTGGTTTCCCTGATCAAACTTGAAGTTACCGAAGTGGAAAGTGCTTCACACCAGCATTGAGAAGGTACCGATGATTCAAGTAAGAGTGTTCTTACCATATCTAGGAGATGACGATTCTTTCTTTCAGCAACACCGTTTTGCTGTGGTATCGAATGACAAGAATGTTGAGAGATGATACCCTTACTTTGGAGAAAGTTCTGAAACTCATTGGACATATATTCTCCCCCACAATCAGATCGCAAGATCTTAATGAGGCTAGAAAATTGAGTCTCAACAAGAGCAAAGAAACGCTTAAAGACTGAAAAGACTTCTGATTTGGCTCTTAAAAAATAAACCCAAGTAAAATGACTGAAGTCATCAATAAATGTAACAAAGTGCTTATAACATGCATGAGAAATAATAGGTGAAATCCCCCCAAACATCACTATGAATCATATCAAAATATTGTGAGGCACGAGATCCATGAGAGGGAAAAAATAGAGTTGCATGAGAAATAATAGGTGAAATCCCCCAAACATCACTATGAATAATATCAAAATATTGTGAGGCACGAGATCCATGAGAGGAAAAAGGTAGAGTTTTACTTTTGCCAAATTTGCATGCAGTGCAATCAAAAGAAAGTTCATACGAACATGTTTGATTACCTAATAAATTAGAATTAAATAAAATGCGAACTACATTTGAGTTTGGGTGGCCTAAACGTTTGTGCCACAATTTATTATCAGTACTAATGGTATTACATGCAAATGAAAGTAAAGGAGAACTAAGAAAAGGAGAGGTATGCAAGGGAAAGAGTCATCCCACTTTAGGCCCCTTCTCGATCATCTTCCTCGACACCGGATCCTGCACAACACAACCAGAACGAGAGAAATGAACATTATAATTACTATCAACTAATTGACCAACAGAAATTAAATTTGTAGAAAGATTGGGAGACATAAAAACATTAGTTAAGGAATCTGAAAGATCACCAATAGCTTTGATAGGCAGTGAACTACCATTAGTAGTATGAATTTTTAGATTCCCATCATATTCTTTCACATTGGAAAGAGGAATAATGGTGTTGGTCATATGACTAGAAGCTCCAGAGTCGAAGAACCATGGTTTAGACGAAGTTTTAGGAGTACCTGACAGTCCAAAAGCAGAGAAAGCAGAATTGATCATCTGTTGTACCATTTCAGGGGTGAGGGTGGATGCAGAAGTAAGATTTGGAACAACGTACGAAGTAGTAGGCAATGCTGCAAAGCTAGAGGCACTAGTGGAGGAATGATAGGCTGTAGTATGCCTCTTTTCTGGCCGAATGGGACAAACAGAGATGTGATGTCCTTGTTTCTTGCAATAGTTACATTATTTCTTAGGACAATCTTGAGAAATGTGATCAAAGGTTTTACAATTATAGTACTAGACTGCACGTATGTCACGACCCTTATTCCTTCCTTGTGCTGCATAAGCCACAGGAGCACGGATAGTATCCCTATGCTCCATGGTAGCCTGAGTAACTAGACGTTGCTCCTCACGAAGAAGTTCACTCAAACAAGTACGATTCATCAGATTAGACCGTACAGCCTCGGATTCGGGACGTAGCTTCATCAAGAATTGATCCCTCTTGCTTGTTTCATGCACTGTTTAAATAGCAGATAGGGCTGTCGCGGGAACATTAGCATAAACTATATCTAAATATTCAGTCCAAAGATTTTGAAAACCTGAAAAGAATTCTTCAATCAAAAGACTTCCTTGTGTAAAATTAGCCATTTCATACTCCAATTAAAATCGTCGAGCTGTGTTGTCTTGTTTGTAAACCTTACTAATGTAATCCCACATAGCAGCAGCAGTTTTGTAAGGTCTCAGATTGAGAATAAGGTGCGGTTCGACTGAACTAAGGATCCAAGTCATAACTTGAGCATCCTTAATTTCCCACTTCGACAAAGCCTCAACAACTTTAGGAGCGGGATCACTACCATCAAGATTTCCCCACAACTTTTTCCTTTCACAAATAATTGGAATTGGAATTTCCAAGCTGAGTAATTTTTTCCATTGAAGTGGATAATAAATGAGTCTAACTTATCAAATGACATGATGAATAAAATATTCAACCAAATAAAGAACCTAGACCAAAAAAGAATAAACCGCGTGCTGAAACTGAAATAAATTAGTGAGCCACAGACTAATTGCCCAACACGCAGAAGTCAACCGACCAACACTTAGAAGACAACTGACCAACACGCAGAAGATGTAGAAGACAACCGAACCTGAAATACGCAAATGGGCGACCAAACCCACACGCCCAACACCCGAAATGGAGATCTCCCGGAGAGGCACCGACGATGATCGAATACACCGAACAAGGCGAGATTCACAGCAAGTAAGAGCTTAGAGCCCTAGCTCTGATACCATGACAAAAAGATCGAACAAAATACGTGAAATTTCTGTCCCAAAAAACCCGTTTTACATTGTGTTGTGTATAGTATATATATTTACAGTTATTTGATCTAAAAGGAAACTAAATAAATCTCCTGAAAATTAGCTACAAATCATTCTCCCAAATATTCGTCGTTATATATGGCAACAGGCGGTTGCTATTAAAGATAGAAAAGAAGGACCGAAATTGGAGCAGTCAAACATTGAGGATGTTTATTATATACATACACGTAGAAGTGCACGCGAGCAGTGGAAGATGATACAAGCCCTTGGAATTATTCAAGTTCTATCAAATTTTGGTGATGTCGTTCTATTTTTATGCATTTCATTCCAACAATATGCTTGACCAAATCTTCTATTGTATTAGATGAATGATGAATCATTTTGTTTATTTATTTTAATTCAAAACAGGTAATTTAGTTTAATTATTGTGTTTCTTGATTGGTTTTGCATTTCCATTGAACTATTTGATTGCTTGATCACCAATTGGATAGTAAGTTACTTGTTGTAGTATAGGAATACTCATAATAAGTCTAGAACGCGGTAAAATCAATATATGGGCAATAGGTATTATGAATAATCTCTATGGCATCTGCAATCACGTGTAATAAATTCTGTGAATCAATGCATGTTTTTCATATGAATTCGAACTAGGAATAGGATTGTGTCGTGTTAAACATAGGTTTAATATATCTTGAAAAATAATGTTGAATAAAAGTGGATTATCGATTGTCTTGAATGCATGAAATTATCTAGATTACAAATTAAGAATTGAAATTAATGGCAATAGGGGGATTTAAGATTCCAATACACTCATTCACATATTAGATTAATACATTTTAATCACTTTCTTAGATTAGGATCAATATAGAAAAAATTAAACTCTCTTTTGTGTTACGATAATATCGAATTTGACAAAAACTATCGAACTAGACATTAAACCTTATTCCTCGTGGGATGATAAACTCTTAATTCACTTATTATTACTTGTCAATGATCTCATACGCTTGCGGGTTTCACACGAACAAGTTTTTGCAACCTTTGAGGGAATGAAAGTAAAGGTGTGTTGTTATTGGTAAGAACAGTCGCATTGACCTGTGGATTGTCTGACTGTTATTCTTGATTAACATTTGATAATTTTTTAGACTGACCCACTTGTCTTCTCCCAAGGTCAGTACTCAATTCTCCTCAATCCCCTTCTTCTTCACTGTAATTTCTGGCAGTTGAACTCCGCTTCTCATTGTGATAGCCTGGACTTGTTCATTTTTAGGATGTCTTTGAAGCCTTTGATGGAATGAGATAGGCGGCACATAAGCTTGAACAGGTGTAGCAGGCTTGATTGATGGTGTCTCGATAGTTGCATAATTCACAGCTTCAACTACTGATACCTGCTCCTTTGGGTTCTTTTCTGTATCGCTCAGCAGAGTACCTTGTGCTCTGTAGGCTAATGCAGCTGCTATCTGTCCCACCTGTTTCTCTAAGTTATGTATAGAGGCTTACTGATTCTGTATCACAGTCTCAGTCTTGGTGACGTACTTGACAAGTAGATCCTTCAATGATTGTTTCTTTTCTTCTTGTTGCTGAATCGTTGGTGGATTGCCCCTCATTTGATTTACTTGATCTGAATTATCAACCCCCGCGTAGTTAGGATGCTTGTTCAAACTCGAATGGTAGTTGTATGGGTAAGGTCCATTTTGCCTCTGATAGTTCTGTGCATAACTGACCTCTACTGGCTGACTTATGTGAGTAGAAGCCAAAGGGCAACTTGTAGTAATGTGATCTGCCCCACAACCTGCACACTTTGGAGTTGGAGTTTGTACCATATTCACAGAATGGATCAAAGTGTCGAGCTTTCTAGTTATTGCCTTCATCTGTGCTGTCAACGCTGTCACTACATCCACATTATATATACCAATTGTTTTCCTCTGGACTTCTTATTGCTCGGCCACATCGATTGACTTTCTGCTATCCTCTCATACAGCTCATAAGCATCGTCCACTTTTATAGCCATTATCGATCATCCCGCTAAAGCATCTACCATATTCTTGAATTCTTGGCGTAATCCATAGTAAAAGATATATATTTGTGCTTATTTAGGAATGTCAAGAATGGGGCACTTCCTCAATAAGTTTGTATACCTTTCCCATGCCTCTGAATAGCTCTCAAGGTCTTTCTGCTTAAAGGTGTGGATTTCATTCAGAATTTGATGAACTCGAGTTGGTGGAAAGAATTTCATGGTAAATTTTTTAATCATGTCATTCCACGATACAATGCTCCCAGAAGGTTGTGACATCATCCATATTTTTGCACCTTCCTTCAAAGTGTGAGGAAATAAATGCATTCGAAATGCATCCCGTGACATCCCCTCGTGACTAATTACATCACACAACATGGTAAAAGCTTGAACGTGTTTATGTGGATTTTCCGTAGCTTTCCTACTGAACCTGAAGTCTTGATGATTTTGAAAGAGGTTTATGACATCTGGTCGAATGTGGAAGTTAGCTTGTCCAAAGGGCGGATAGATGATTGGAGGTTGAATCGGTGCTGGCATTGGATTTACAAAATCTCTCACTAAAACTTCCCCATGATTTGCGACTGCCCTTGACAGATATGGCTGAATTGGCCGAGGTAGTGGCAAATGGTTCTAAGCTTGATTCTGATGTTGGTTTTCTGCCATATCTCTTGCTTGTCTATGCTCTCTCTTTTCGTTGTCTAAAAGTTCTTTCGATTTCGGGATTTATTGGAAGAAGCTCGATCTCGTCAGAATTTTGCATAAACTATGATTTCCTGAAAAGAGTAAAACAAGATACTTAGATCGTTCAATGAATAGCCTTAAACAAATAAAGTAAATAAAAAAGGAAAAAGAATAAAAAAACTTCAAATATAAAATAACTAATAAATTCAAATCAAATAAATTATTCCCCGGCAACGGCGTCAAAAATTTGTTCGTGTGAAACCCGCAAACGTACGAGATCGTTGACAAGTAATAGATTTAGTGAGTTAG